GGGGGGGGGGGAAATGTGCAAAAATTTATTTATGGCTTTGGTCGACTCCAAAGCAATACCGAGCCGTTTCAAATGCAAGACGTAAGGATCGAGAATGAGACAAGAGAGAAACGATGCAAACACAAGATGTAGTCGAATTGAGGCCAGAAGATGACGTAAGGTTAGCGTAAACCAAGTAACTCTGAAAATCTCTCAAAAACAACCGTCGGAATAAATAAAACGGAGTTGGAGAGAACTCACCTAGAATCGGGAAAGACGCGAGGTGATAGCCGTAGGATATGACTCATGTAGCGATGAATGTAGGCCGATTTCAACCACTGAAAAAACATAAAGGATAATTAGCGTGTCTGTTGATGCATATAAACGTACTCCCAAGAGATCCTACCTCATAAGTAGCCAGTTCAATGCCGGCGTAGGGGATGATTCCAACCAAATTAACCACATAGCCGCGGAAGAAGCCACGAAGGCCCAACTCCCTGTAGATATGAGCAGCACAGTCTGCTATGGAGGAGTACTGTCCCGTTTTTCGAAGGCACATCCGAGTCTTGAGAACCTAGTACCACGGTTAGAAAATTCAATGAAAACCACGTCGAAAGTGATAATAGTTTCGATCCAATCATATTTGTCAGCATAACCTACACACCTCATCGCGGCCACTTTGGGAACGTCACACATAATGACGAAGTGCCTGGACAATTAGTCAAAAGTACATTTTAAACACTTCGACCAAATCTTCTTCTTTCCTCGATTTTTACTGTTAATATAGCTTTTTTCATCCGCCCTAATGGAGAGTAAAGTTGCGCTCAGCATCAAAAAAGCACCACTAGAAATATTACTAAGTTTAGAGTGCAAATTAGGTGCCACAACAAGGTAGAATAGTCTGAGCAAGTAACAGAAGAGAACAAAATAACGTTATGATAACAATGCTCCGAACAAACGTCTACTGTTTCTCGTTTGCTTAATATGGAAGGCCATTTTGACCATTGGCTCTTACTCGAGTCGACTTAACAAAAGGCATACTAATAATTCATTTTCTATCCATTTAACCCGCCCGATCCCGTCCTAACCCTGCATTAGTCCCTTCTTGGTGTGAATTCCATGTACATTTCAATGCAATGAGTTTCAACAAAGTCCTCCAATCAACTTGACAAATCTGATGGACTTAAGAACCCAATAATGGAGCAATAATCTACGAAAATTTGTTCCTTCATGTCGGTTACCCAATGAAAATCACGACTAAACTTGCAAACAACTATCGTATCGACACACTAAACGATAAATCGTTTCTTGCTAAAGCATTCACATGCGCGACAAATTGAAACAACAGTGCAACCGAAAACTGGAGAATAACCATGTCCAAACTCACTTCCACGGGATAGACGGCAGACTGAGCAGTAAGACCTGCTAATGAGCCGGAGGCGAATTTCGTAATGACAGGATGCCGATCGAAAAAACCGTCTTCATCCATGTCCATGAGGAAACGTTTGTACCATTCATAAGTGGTATATTTGATTGCGGTTTCAGGGGCGATTTTAATAGAATTGATGAGGTTTCCGCGCCACAGGGACCACAAACCACCTTCTCGTAGCATATATCGATACGCTGGGAAGTAGTTTAACAAATTTGCCACCCTACCTTCAATAAATCCACTTTGCTTGTGCTTGTAGCCGTGTACCTGGCGCATGACTTTCAGACGATCTACAGGAGCGGTACAAGTGCGGGACACAACACCAGCTGTACCACCGGCAACTAGCTGCAGGATATCACGCTTTAAATCGTGGTCATGCTTCATAAACTGCGGAATCGCAACCACTGGATCCACTGATAAATCGAGAATCTGGAGGAGAATAAAGAATTCTGTCGACGGTAAAGAATACAGAAATGAGTCCATGGAGCAAAGCGAATAGTAAAAATTACCGCGCCGTGGCGCCAAAATTGGGTAACACTTGCAAGATCGCTGATTGGGAGAAACAGGAGAAACTTTCGCCACTCTTCATACTCGATACAGTCGTTGTTGTTTTTGTCGATGCGACGCAAGAGACGCTTGGCTTCGGATGGTTCGATCGGAATGCCAAGTTTAATAAAGTAGGCTTGTACATCCAAAAGATCAACTTTGCCCTGCATATTCCGATCCATTTGGGCATAGATGGGAGAGAGATGTCGATCCTGTTCATGGACATAGTGAGCGAATTGTTTGGAATTAACATGACCATCAGGTTCAACACCACAGCGCTCTAGAAAACTCTAGAACGAAATCCTATTAAATACCAACTCGTAAAGCGCACTGTCCTACCTCAGCCAAGACATCTAAATTATTTTTCGTCAGTTTCAAGTCGAATTGTCTAAGAAAAACTTTAACATCATCTTTGGAAATAAGACCGTCTTTATCAAGATCAATTTGCCGGAAAAGCTGAAGAGTGGGAGACACTTCTTCATGAAAAACGAAGAAAGGAACAAAAAATCTCATCGTTGAACAGCACCCATTCACTGGGGAGGCGAGGCCAGAATGGTAATCTTATAAGTCATTCAAGGTCAAGAAAGAGCACCATCAACATTTAAACTTGTTTGGGTTTTCGTTTAACTTATAAAAACATATACCGCAAAACGCCAAAACACTAGCTTTGTACCAACTTTAAAATGGAATACTAATTATTTAAAATTATCTGCGCTGCACTTTGGTCAGATTAAATTCTGAAATATTACGTGTAACAGAAGGGAATTCTTGAAATTAGCAGTGGCCTTTAGGCCACGCTAATGCCTAATTTCTTTGTTCTCCTAGGAATGCCTGTGTTTACTTACACTTAACGTCTTCCTCTACGTTTATCTTTTCGCCCTCTACCACTAATCTCAGTCATCTGGAAAGAGAGACGGTTGGACGAACATTTATTATGCGCAGATTCATGGTTACAATCTACAGAGAGAGGTGCACAGACTAGTTTTATGCAGCTTTCTAGCACCATTCCACAATGACCTTCGAATCGAATTCTACTTGCTTCTTACTAAACACAATTTTAACACCCACTGTGCATGTAATGCTCTGTTTGTAACCACCAGATTTTGACGGTCACTCTAGGATTTGTCTGGCCCTTGAACTCGTGGGTTGACCTTCGGGACATGTTTGGCGTACATTTCTTTGTCCTCCTTTGAATGCATGTACCCAGCTCTACTTACTGCCCTTTTTACCCGGTGGGATGTCTCGAAACCCTACACTAAATTACACTGGCAAACACCTACATCCAACCACCAATTCTAATAACAGTTTTTTAACCGAATCTTCGCCTTTTATTAACAAACAGAATGATAAATGCGTTAGATGTAGCAAAATACACGCATGCTAGGCGAAGAAAAGGAAACCGGGATTTGGTCTTTCAAATGGGCCAGCACAAATGTTAAGTAACAATATCGACACAAAATAAGTTCCGCTACAAAAAGTACACCATAAATGTCAGAATTTATCGCAAAAATAGCTTTTGCGATTTTAAACCAGAAAATGTGGGGCACAATGTAAGGGCTGCCTGCCGACATGTAACTTTTCCAGATAGTTCACGGCGGTGTCGCTTCAGTTGTTAATAGCTTGTTTGTGGATCACGGGAATAAGGTGGAAACAAATGCAGACGTCAGTCTCAACTCTTTCGTTGTGAAAGATTCGGGGATTCGCCCGCCACCAAGGTAAATGCGCCTCCTTCAATTTACGTCCCTTTTTCGCCTCTATCTTCGTCTACTGCACTTCGATACAATCAGACTTCCTTCTACGCATGCGTAGGTCATGATTGCCGGTGCACAACACCAGAATGTGCTTATTAATCTTGGATTTCTCCACCAAATAGCAGAAGTCCTTTGCAGTTTCGTCTGCTGGTTGGATTATAAACTTGTTGTGAAAAGAGAGGTTTCGTGCTCCCGACCAAGGGAAGCCGATTTTGGAGAACCTGCATGTATTGAACCAGTGCATCATCCGAGCGAATCATTGCTCGTCAACTGGTTCGAGCTATTCTTTTCCAGAAATCAGTTGATTAATCGGCAAAGTGTAGCAACACAAACGTAGGACGTCAGTGAGACAGCGGTGTCTGTTGGAAAATAGACTTTTCCGCAAACAATGTCGCTTTCAAAAGCTTCTTACACCTAAAAGTCACAAGAAATTGTCGAATTTCCCATAGGGTGGTAGAATGCGTGTATTCTGAAGACGACAGGGCAAGTGGAGCCTGAGCATGACCAGAAGGCCAATTTACGTGTTCAAAGACCAGACAAATTCTAAAGTGGCCGAATAACGTCAGGTAATCACATAAACAAAGCATTACAAGCCTGCCTTTCAAACTTTTATAAAACCATTTTGTGCGTGTTGGTAGAATATGTTGTGATGTCCAATGGTAATTGCTCGTTAATAAGTATAGGAAAACATAACGTAAAAACGATTTGGATGGTTTTATTAATCTTCTCGGCACTAAGTGAAGTAGTGCAAATAGTTGCATTTGATGCTGTAGGAAGTGCCTGCCTACACTCATGGCCTCGAACCACGGACTTCAAAAAAGCATTAGTTGCAGACGGTTTATTTGGCATTAGGTGCAAGGAGAATGGGGGTTGCACTATAAATGAGCCGAAAAGAAAATATTAACCGGAGAGAGAGTCCGCACGGTCCTCGTCCATTTCATTCGCATTCCTATTCTGGTTCCCGCATCCCTCTTATATCGGCGCACTTAAACAAGTATGTATTTCAGCTGCCTCATCCTCCTTTGCTAATTTTTAATAGAATCTGGAGGCAATCAAACCCTCCTGCTAGATGTGGAAGCAATTTATAGGCATAATTGGACGGTTTGTCTCCGTTTCTGGGACCATTGTTCCAAACTCAATCTTTAAAGTGTGTAAATTGCGTAAAATTTTGTCTTGAAATGTGTTTAATATCTTGCAGCTGATTCTAAAATAATAATTTGTATGATTATTATCACCCCTTAGACAGTTGTCAAGGTCACCAGTTCGGTGCTCTTTCACTCTAGCGCTTTTCCTATATTGCCTTCTCATATGGCCGGTAACCAATTTGACAGAGTTGCCGGAATTCTTAGGAAGGCGACGTATAGTAATGATACGAAAGAAAAACTTGAATTCCTTCATCAAGTTAAGGAATTGATAATCAACTACGATCGGTCTTTGCTTGATAGCTTTTTTGAGGTTGGGGTTTTTCGGATTCATTGTCTTCTTTTCAGGAAGTCGTTGCCTTTCAGCACTATCCAAACAATGACTTGAGGCGATTTGTGATCAAGTTTATCGAGGATGCATGGTAGGAGCATAATCATGTCACCACCTTGACTTGCTTTCATCCAATTTGTGTACTTCGATTTCCTTTTTAGCATATCGGACGGAAGTCTAATCGTAAAATCTGTTGCATGCTTGTCTCACTTATTCAGTCTATCACTTCACTCTGATCCACCATTTTCTGGTATTATACGAGCCATTATTGGAACAATGAAAATAATATACTGTCGTTCTCTATCACGTGCTGTCAAGTGCGGTGTCATTGAGTCAGGAGCCATGACCGGCGGTGGTATTAAGTCTGGTTCCTTAGCTGACACTTCCCTCGAAGCTTTTCGTGCCGTTGTTGTTTTCAAGGACGAAATAATCCGTTTGCTTCTTCCCTCCTCTGTACCGGTTTTGCCGGGCAGTTCTGTCACTGCACCTCCGCCCAACATTCTAACACGGCTCTGTGCTAACCTCAACGATGCTGCTCGCGTTGATATCATTAAATTCATTGAGGCGATAATTGTACAACAATCCAGACGAGCGCCAAACTCCGAAACTCTTTCTAACTCCGCAGAATTCACTTTGGATCAAATTCCTGATTTGCCCAATAGTTTGCTAAAAAGCATCATAAATGCGAGTACGGCATCGTCCTCGGTCAGTCCACTACCGGGGATCTGCCTCGTTCGCCCGCGACGCTTATCGGATGAGTCGGAACGCCTTCTCACCGGCCTGACGAAACTGCCTTTGAAGCAGGGGGACGACAACGCATTTCGGTCTGTTGTCACCAGCTCGGTTTTTGATGCTCTCATTGATAGTATCGTCAGCATTGCTTGTCAACGTCCTCAGTTCTGTAATGAGGCTGTGCAGTCCTTGGAAACCATTCATGGTGTGTTTTGCTGGACTCTCCTTTCCTCCACAAATATGTGTGTAAACATTTTGTCTTTTCCTTTTTAGTAAACCTGCCTCCACATTTCACTCAGGCGCAAGTCAGTTCGGCGCGAAGGAAGTTAAAAGCGGCACTTCTATGTCTCCTTCAGCACTCTGCTGCCAACACAGGATATCAAAGTCGAATCATAATTCTTCTCACCGACCTAGGTGCCACTCAACAGGAGGTTACTTCCCCTACGCCTTCCTAACTCACTTCCTTAGTCCCGAAAAACACCGAAAATTATGTCTTCTTTCATCCTTCCAGATTTCTGGTGTGCTTCCTATCAAATTGGCAACGCATTCAACGGTGGTACCATCCTCAGGAAAGCGTAGTTATATTGATTCACTTTCCAAAAAGCAGTCTATTCTCGGAAATGAGGAGGAAGATGATGAGGAAGAGGAGAGAAAAGCGGTGAGGCTTATCAAACGGCATCGCATGGATTCCGGCTCTTCCTCTGTTGCTGCCTCCCCCTCAACTGCCTCAACCAAGGAAGCAATTCCTAGCATTGAGGAAATCACTGCTCGTCTTGTACCAAAATTGACCACCGCTAATGTGGCGGATTTAGTTCTTTTGAGGTAATTGAGGTTATTGCTATAGAGGTTTCAGTAGTAATAATGTCGTTAACTTTCCCTTTTTTATCCTTCGCGGGTCAGCATGGTCACCCTTCCATCCCGTATGCCCGCAGCGTTTGATGCCACTTACACACCTATTGCTGCGGCTGGAACTGCTACTCAAGTGCGTCATTTGGCTCGCTTGTTGGCCGCTCAGCTTGTTGTCTGGGCGACCAGTGCAGTTGGTGAAGAAAGAGTGAATCGCGAAAATCGTGCTTTGCTGGGTCAATTGATGACAAATACTGTCACTGAAAAGGGTGAAGAAGGTGGTGGCGGTGGAGTTGGTAGTACTGTTGGTGGTTGTGGTGACGATGACGAATCCGCTAACAGAAAGACTACTCCCAGGGTGCGTCTCCTTCTTTTGGATTCTTTTCTCTGCTACGTTTCTGCAACTGCATAGGCTTTATGCCGTTTCTCCCATGTGTAAACAGCAAGAAGTAAGTGATGATGGAGGTGAATTGGCGTTCAAAATCTAAATCTGTTTTCCCATTTAGTGCCTGGTTAAATGTTGCAGTTGTCTCTCCGCTGTAATTAGGCTTAAATAGTCCATATTCACCTTGCAAGAGTAGTCTGATTATTAAGCAAAAGTCGAGGAATGGAATGTTTTTACTCTTAACTAGCCATCTCCATAGTTGGACTTCATTTCCCTTTCTAGTTGATCAAAAGGAGCAATGAGAAGATTGACGAGGACGACGAAGCTGCTTTCATGAAAGAACATGCAGCCAGAATGCATACTGCCACTAAGCCGATGAACATCAGCGTTGTGCGGGGTGCAGTCTCAACGGGAGAGGTGACCCTATCGGCACCTATGCCCTTCAATCCGCCGCTGCCACCAGCTTCTCTTCTACCCCCCACTGGTATGGTTAGAGATATGCTCCAGCCTGTTTAACCGTCATAATGTATAGGATGCATCGGTCCATTCATTCACTTCTTGTTGATTTTCATCCTTTATCTATCCATTGATTTTTCTTATGTTGATCCCTTCGACTCTTCGCCGGTCTCTCAATCTTAGAACCGCCTGCCCGTCCATTCGCTTTGTCTTTTTAACCTTTTCCATTCCTTTATAAATTCTTATCTTTTCACCTCGCATAGGCATAGTCCCGGCCCGACCCTTCTCTCTCGACGCCGTGGTGGCTCCGCTGTCTCTTCAGCTGCGTCAGAGCATGGCAAGAGATGCATTCTCACGCATCCTCGCCTTTGAATGTGTCTCGCATGGTCGTGGAGTTGCAGAGGAGTCCACCAGAACAGTATCCATGCACTCCGACTTAGCTCCTCGCGAGGCGGCAAGAGTCAAGCTCCTCTGTCGGCTACCTCCCAGCAGACGTCTCTCCTCAAATTACCTTTACCCTCGTAAGTGGTGAAAGTGGCTCATCTTCACTCATTTTTGATCAGATTGGGATCACACTAACAGCCACACGCCTATATGCTTTAAGTAATACTTTGTGACTACCTGCCCTTAGAAAAGCACTCAAGCTAATCGGCTTGGAGTACAGATAATCAGCAATAGTTCTACTATGCACATAAGTGTAGCAGAAACATCAAAACAAATAGTGGTGGTCGTTTCGTGAAGCCCTGCATGAGCGCACTACTTAATTGTGCAGTTCTAATCTCTCACGCAATGGAAAATCTAAAGGAGGGTTTCGAACTCTTGGCAAATCTCTTGATGCACGAATACACCGCTTTTCGCGGCTTTCGGCTCGCTGGTGCGTTTGAAGATGCTCTGACTAGCAGCAAAGTCGAGGTAGACGACGCAGAAGCCGGATGCAGTGGCGAAGATGACGAAGATGGTGGTGCGGACGAAGCGCGACGACTTCTCTTGGAATCGCAGCGACAGTTGATGGCTTTGAGAGCCCGCGAAGGTGTGGAGGCAGTGAGAGAGACACAAGAGATCCAGGTGGGATGTGATGCAGCTGAAGAAGAAGAGGAAGGGGACTGCGATTCGAAGATGATGATGGGGATGACCACTGGAGGTTCCGTCTCCACTGCCTCAGGTAGAGGCGGCATATTCCAGGACTTTGGCTCCCTCACTGTATACGACACCCTCTTCACAGAAATCCTTACTCGTTTCGTGGATTCCGGCGTAAAGTCTCCGTAAGTTTAGCATTTGTGTGCACATCTCCCCTGTTTTACCACCAGTCACATTGGTTCCTTAATACTATAAGTTAAACTTTTGTTGAACTATCGGATGTTCGTTTTTTGTTGTGGTAGATATTTTGGTCGACTGTTGCTTGAGGCGCCGCTTCTGACTGTAAACGCAATCAGAGTATTGAAGCGCTATTGCACACTTCCTGAACAGGCCACGTTCGGATTTCAGGTAAGGCGGCAAGATATCAATTCGTCTTTGTTATCCTTCCACCCTTCTCCTTTTTAATTCCGCCGTTTTCTGAGGACAGGTCCTTCGTTCGCTTATCGAATTGAGACCTTCACAGAGGCGGGAGGAGTTGTTGGATCTCCTCCTAGGGTTCGGTGCCTGCGAGGATTCCACTGTTCGCAGAGCCGCCATCAAAGCTACCTGCCAGTTGGCTGATTCGCACCCACGATGGGAGAAACTCGTTGAGGTGAATTTACAGACTGACTTTTGATCCATCCTTATCTAAAGTCAAAGTTGAGCCCACTCACAATTTCCCCATAAATTCTACAGACATCCTTTTGTGATTACTGCGCATGTTCCCATCTCTGAATGATCATACCATTTTCTCCTGAAAAGGATCGCGCAATCGAGTACCTGAAGCACATCCTCCAGCCTCAGCCTACGGCTGAAATGTTTGTGGGTTTGTTGGCCAAACCACCACTCCTCACTTCTCAGTGGACCGACGAGACGTGCCAACTTTGTGCTCACCTATTCCTTGGTCTCATGCCTAGAAATCCAGGAAAATTGCTTCTAACGTAAGTTTTTCTGCTTATGGTCCTTAATTTTACATTGTTTAAAGGTGATCTTTGATTTTCACCCTTATCCTCATTGTCTTCGGCTTCCTTTCCTCCGGTTGGTAGTCTGGCGGAAATCTATGTTGCTGCTAGCGACAGCGTTCGTCGCTGCCTTCTTCGTCTCATGGACACTTCGGTAAGTTTTTGCAAGTTCATGGGCTTGTAAGTTTGTGCATTTTCTAGTTCACACTGTCCCTATTCTTCCTCTACCAATAGATTTGTGAAATCGGTCTTCACTCGCCACACCTTCTTCGTCTGCTTGATAATTGTCCTTCTGGAGCAGAGACTCTCGTTACACGCATGATCCACATTCTCACTGATCCAAGAACGGCCTTTGCCCAAGCATCAGCACCGTCACCACCATCCCCGCCGCCCTCCGCAGGTTCCATTACAAAAACATCTACGCGATCAACAAGTCCTCACACCCACACCCCTGTTTCCCTCAACGTTCCCATTATGCCTCCACCTGCTTTGGTGGAACGCGTGCGTCGGCTATATCGGGAGCGGATCCGCGATGTTCGATGCCTCATTCCCGTTATTGTAGGTCTTACCAAACAGGAGGTGATCGCGGTGCTACCGCAGTTGGTGCAACTCAACGAAAAGGTCGTCAAGGAGGTCATTAGTCGACTCCTCCACGGTAAGTTTCGACACAGACGTATGGGAGTTCTTTAAGAAATGTCATAGCGATGCAGTGCAGGGAGTGACACGTCCTTTTCTTCTCTATTCCCTTTGCACTTCCAGCCAGTGTGGCCACTCAGCCGGCTCCTGATCCACGTGCTCTGGAAAGTTCTTCGAAGTTGATCTCGAAGGAACCTCCAGTTGTGGGACCAGTAACACCAGAAGAACTTCTGGTGGCAATCCATCTTCTTGAATTCGTTAAAGACCCCAACGTCACCCCAGAGCAACCCTCTAGTAAGTGTATCCGAGCCAATCTATGCCTGATTCATAAGTAGAACTATCCGTCACACTTTACCGTGCTGTCTTTCTGTCAGAGAAGCCCTACGTGGAGATACGGGTCATACTTCAGGCCTGTTTACACTGCTTCGCCGAACGTGCGCTCTACACTCAGGAACGGTTGTCGGCGGCAATCGGGCAACTGCTAGACCGCCCGGTGGTGCCAACGCTCTTTTTACGTACTGTCATGCAAGCACTGGCTCTCTATCCTCGCCTCACCGGCTATGTCATCAACGTCCTCTTTCGGCTCATTCAAAAACAGGTACTCTTTTTCAACCTCTTTATCGTCTCTCATTGCCTGCTAAATTCTCTAAATCGATTGAGCCACTAACTGAAAGTAAATTTGTGTGCATGCGTGTTTCTTCGTGTTTCCTAGGTGTGGAAGAGCGAGGTTCTGTGGGACGGTTTTATTCGTTGTTGCGTGAAGACACAGCCACAAAGCTACCAAGTACTACTTCAATTACCACCACAGCAGCTACAATCCGTTTTTACGAGAGAACCGAACTTACGCACTCAAGTTCGTCGTTACGTGGATAATTTCTCTTCCGCTCAGGTAGATAGTTTGTAGAGTTAGTAGAAGTACTTGCGAGCTGTCTAATTTATTGTTTGGCTTCCAGCGCACGCACATTTCCCGCGGTGTTTTTGAGGTGCTGGAAAGGGAGGTTTCCCCGCTGCAGTCTTCGTCCGCTGAGGCAGTGCAAAGTGCAACGGCTACAACGACTGTCATGAAGCCGGCCCAAGAAGGGATGGGCGAAGATGAGAAAGTGGAAAACGCGCCCTCATCTGGCTCGGCCACTCCTCTTCGGGACGAGGTCCTTCAGGTTGGAATGCCTTTCTATTCTCGCCATTTCTGATTTCTACCAGTTACATCTTTGCCACTCAGTAACTGCATTCGTGGTTTTCTAACTCATTACGTTTCCTTCAAGTCAAGAACTCCCAGTCCAGTTGCGGCTGAAGGGGCGGTGGAGAGGAAAGAGTTGGCTCAGGGATCGCAACAGGAAGGAGCAGAAGAAAAGTCTGCGGAAGAGCATACGACCACATCTGTCAGAGCCTCGGGTGCGTTGCTTTGATGATAGGGAAGATGGAACGACGTCATTTGCTTTTGAACTACTGCTTAGAGCTCAAACACTTTTGTTATAACTAAAGTCATTTGATATTTCTAATGGTCACTACTGTCAAAGATATTCTCTTAAAACAAGTAGTTTACTATACTTTCGGATAGTCGCGAACGTGGGTGTGGAGTCCCCTGAGTGAACCTCCCATTTGGTCATGTAATTTTCGAACAAAAACCATCTACTCCTCTTAAACCTGTTTCCCTCTTCTTTTTTCTCTCGTTTCAGGTTGCACCGGTTCTGAACAGCACTAATGGCTCAGCTGATGAAAGAAGCATCACCCTCGTTGTGTACAAATTTGTCGAATTTTCCATGTTGCTCCTTGCTACTTGCTCTCATGTAGCTTCTTTCAGGAAGGGCTAAGCGGTAGCGGAGGTGGAGAGTGGAGTCACGCCACTTGCTACCTCTTCAAATGAGGTGAGGGATGCCATTGGTATAGACAAGCGTGTAGCCGAGCGAATTAGTGGGAAGAGTTCTCAGGAAAGGTACAACGAAGATGGACAATTCCCTGCACGGAAATTAATGGTGGATTGGAATTAAGTCGTCCAAAATTTGATGGTACGGAGGGGTTAAAGGCATGTGATATGGGAAATTTGGCGTCAGTCGAGGAGTGATAGTGTACTCGTCTCTGCAGGTTAGCAGAAGGTGGATTGCCTGGAGGGTTGAAGGTTTGCTGAGGCAGCTCTCATTCCCAGACTCCCTTAGTTTATGCCACATTTGGAAAACTGGCGTGGTGTCGCCATGTGTTAAAAAGGGTATGAAAGCTATCGTCAATCACGAGTGGAATGTATGATGCCTGGACTGGAGGCAGGAATAGAAAATGAAAAGTAAGTCTTGGGTCGTACCGATCGTGGAACTCTCTCCTCTCTCCTTGGAAAGTGGACAAGTGTTTGTCTTAATTCACCCTCGAAATTGCGCCGAGAGGGCGAGGACTGCGGACCCGTGATGCAAACCGATGATGGACTTACGTTTGCAGTCAACCAGGCTACGGTCTCTGCAACCGTTTGCCTATTGTTAGACGTCCAAATTTTAGACGGTCCTCACTTATTACCCGTGAGTAGCGCTCCTCTACGAGAAATTCTGTTCCACTTCGCTATTATTCTAAATCTGCATTCAATCATGCCCCTGTCGAAGCAACCCGAAAATGTGCCCACGACATACAGCAATAAACAAGCACGATCGCCAGTGGTTGCATCATTTTTACTAAGCATTGGTAAATGGTAGATGAGATTCTGAGGTCACGCATTTCATGGTCAAAACAGTAGATCAACATTGGTGCTTTTTTCACAATAAGAGACTAAAGTCACCTAAGGAGACCATTCGTCTGTGCCATTTTCTGTGTAAGTCGCCGAACTTTTGCATGTTATATTCCACTGTTTGACTTTCTAAAAATGTATCGATGTCTTCCACAAGCAATGAGACGCAATACAATTTTAAGAAGGATTTTTCAAGTCTTTTTAAGCGCTAGTAGAGAACTCATTTTGAATTAAAATATTTGGCCATCTTCGGCACTTTTGACAATGCCAAATTTTCGCACCAAAAAAAGATGAGGTGCGAGTGGCGAGGTTGAAGAAACTCGTAATGGCGCTTGGCTGACCCTAGAAAAGATCCCATTATTGTTCTCCAGTTAAATACATTAGTTACACCCACTGCACAATGTAGTTCTGTCCTGAAATTTTACACTGCACACAATGTAATAATCGACGATTCTAGCCGCAACAGCTGCCCGAAGGAAAAGCGATCATGTGATGGACCGGCGATGACGTCCAAAGCAGTGAAAGACAAGTGTTCTCTTAATCCAGGTTGGGTGCAAATTTGACTGATACCTCCAGCTTTTATGTTGGAATACCTTATACAATGGAAGGCGGAAACTGCCCCAGCTTAGCTAAGGAAAAATGTAATCTGTTTGCCGTTCCCTTTCGCTTGGCTCTTGGTAAGCCTCTGAAGAGTCTGTCGCCTTCATGACGTTTGATTTTACATAGCATTAGAGCCTAAAGGGGAGAGCGAAATGCAGAATAAAGAAATATTTAATTCTTAGATGAAGATTCCTCGCCTCTGAAATTAATTTCCGGTCTTGACTACAAGACACATTTGAACAACTTCTATGTACTATAAGTGGGTTGAGGGGAAGGCAGCGGAAAAGCAATGTTAGTCGCGATGTCAGTATTCGCCATGACAACTGTTTCAGGTGCGAAGTATCAGTAGACCAAATGCCGACAAAGTTTGCAAACCACCAAACAAGGTTGCAAAATGCACGCTAAAAATGGCTTGCCACGCCTATAACGGGCTACATCGCCTCGACAGAGCGTTCCTATTGGTTGCTTTGAATGCTGAGGCTATCATTGCAATTGGTCGGCTTTCACGCGTCCCAAAACCAGAGCTCTGAAATTCACCACTAAATTTTCCATCTAGCACCGTGTTGAGAGCGAACACTAAACAATATTACGAAGACAATTCTCCTTTCCGACAAATTGGAGAATTATTCGCAAAAAATTTTTCAGCTTAGTGCTGCATAGCCCATATCATGTTTTCTACCCGTAGTTTCATGGTCATTACATGAGATTCAAGCAGCTAAAAGTAGCGACACGAAAGAATCACCAGTCTATGGTCACATCACGCGACCTTTTGGCACCTGACTTTGAATTCTCAAGGGAGTTTAATCATGTTTCAGATCCTTTTGCACATTGATATCGGCTAGCGTGATTAGCGCTTAACAACATCGGTGAGGTAAATGTAATGCTTCGCTTATCAGACCACCCGTATGATTGCCTGCCGCTGCGGCGGCAATTCTTTCCATACCGTACAGAGTATCCTCCATGTTAGGATCTGTCTCACTTCTTGTTACTTTTGCCTGATACATTCTCCCACTGAGTGGGAAAGTCAGGAATTAATGAAGCATTGTTATTTTGTCGTCCCCAAAGAATACATGTAGAGCCTCTCTACCTCCAACCAGAAAGGAGGCATTTAATGAAACTGAATACAGTTTGGGCTTAGGCTTGGTCCGAAGACCGGCTCACACGCAAAAAAGGAAGATAACTACCGAAGTGGCAGCCAGCCACGTCGGTTGTTAAATAAACAATGCATTAAATTGTCCCTCACTTCTTTTGAGCGCTCCCCTTTGTTGCGCCTTGTGCACCAACCATCACATCATAGACAGTGCTACAAGGATGTATCCACGATCAGGCCGCGCTAGACGTTATCTCCTATGATATTGCAGGAACGTGCTTCTCCTCTCAGCAGCTTCCACTGAAAGTGAAGCAGCACTCTGTCCTAATACAAGGTTAAAAGAAACGAACTTCTGTTGACCATCAATTGCTTTCAGGAATGGAATTTGGGGCACTGATCTAAAAGAGATTTTCAGCAGGGCAAGCAAGATGAAGCACAGTCTCGTACGGGAAGAAAGCTCAGAGTAGTGTCACCTCCAGCATCCGTGGGCGAATGTGGTAAGAGGAGATCCCCATACCAAACCTTCTCTAGATGGTTCACGGTATTGACGCTTCACCTGTTAATGGCTCGTCCGTGCTACATGGAGGCAAGGTATAGCAAAGCACAAACATGCTCAACTCTCTTGCTGTAAGGAATTTAGAGAACCTCCCGAGTGATACTTACGAACGTCCATGTCACAAATCGAGAATGTCAGGATAGAAGACGTAAAATAGTTGATCCGCCTTTCGTTGCCAACCCACCAGGTAGAAAAAGGCAGTAAGTGGATCTAAATGCATATATTCAAGTAGGCAGGGAAGGAATTCGGCTTCGGCTTCGAACACCAAAGTCACCGTCAGGTATGTGAGTGGCCAAAGAAACAGAGTATTGCAATGAGATTGTCTACTTCATGCATTTTGTAATTCTAAGGGTGGATAAAATATACAAGTGGTGGTGCATTCCTTTCCGTACTTTAGTTCACTTTCACCTATGCACTGATACAAACGTCCGAAAGAACCTTTGCATGTTTATCGTCAACGTTCATGAGCCTAACTTCATCGTCTCTGCAAGATGGTGCTGCTCACTTTTATAAAGAGCGCTAACATTTTGCGTAATTATGCCTGTCAGAGGCTTCTACTATCGCGTTTTTTAGCATCGCACTCTATGGAATTTAAGCAGAGGTGAACGCCTGTTAACAATTGAGGTTACTGCTTACTAATCTAAAATGTGCTCGATTTTTCATAAGAAACGTCACTTTAGGGGCAAAACAAGTCCTTCTATAGGGACAAAGTCAACGCACTTAGCAATAACTAAAACTCCATCACTGTGAAGCATCAGAAAGCGTTGCGTTCGAGACCAGGTTCTATCTGTTTTCACTTGAATCTGTCTACTTTAGACCACTGTTCTAAGATGGGGTTCTGGACATACAACATGCACTCCGGGACTTCTCATTAGGCAGACAAAGGCGCCTATTTGTGCTGAACCGATGCATTTTAGGCGGAGAAGAGATTGGCTCGAAGACCAGCCCACGCGTGCAATGGTAAGACTGACCGACAAGCAGGTGGTCGAACTATCAAGGTGTTTGATTCGCCATTTAAACGCCTTCATTCAGGCGAAGCTTAGCTGTAATGCTTTGTTTACGTGATGTAATGACGTTTGGCGGTCACTTTAGACTTCAACTGACCCTTGTACACTTCAGCTGGCCTTCGGACCACGCTCAGACCTCATTTATCTTGTCATCTTCGAAATACACGTGTTCAACCTCACTTATGCCTCCTTCCATCCCATAGGAAGTCTTGAGACGCTACACTGGGAGCAGCGCAAAGCCAACCCGACATTTTCATTTAACGACTTTCACGTATAAATTGCATTTGAAGATCTTCTGCTCCAACCAACGTGGGCTCTCTCCCTCTGCGGCTTGTTCTTCGTTGGTCGTTTGTTAAGAGCGCCATGGCGTACGGGAAAATCTATTGCCCAACAGACACCGCTGTCTCACTGGCATCCTACGTTTGTGTTGCTACATTTTGCCGAAAAAGAACAGCTCGAACCATTCGACGAGCAATGGTTCGTCCGGATGATGCAATGATTCAGTACCTACAAATCGCACAGGATATGGAGATGTATGCCACTTGTTCTTGGTGTTGATAATCCGTTGGACCCCAAAATCAGCTTCCCTTGGTCGGAAGCACGAAACCTCTCTTTTCACAACAACAAGTTTATAATCCAACCAGCAGACGAAACTGCAAAGGACTTCTGCTATTTGGTGGAGATGAAGATACAGGCGAAAAGGGGGCGTAAATTGAAGGAGGCGCATTTACCTTGGTGGCGGACGAATCCCCGAATCTTTCACAACGAAAGAGTTGAGACTGACGTCTGCATTTGTTTCCACTTTATGCCCGTGATCCACAAACAAGCTATTAACAGCTGTAGCGACACCACCGTGAACTATCTGGAAAAGTTTCATGTCGGAATTTTCGCATACAAAATCCGTCAATTTGTGTTGTAAATGACACTACAGTTCTCCTTGCATACGGGACAGTAGCTCATCCCGTTTTCCCTGTAACATATGTGTTTTAGACCGGAGATCCGCCGTCTATTCCTGGAAGCAATTGGTGGTTAACAGGCGTATGCGGTCTCGAATCAGGTTGTGAGACCGAACGTAACTGCGGATCCAGTTGAAGCTGCCGGGGAGACCGTGTACGGTTCCTCAGTTTCGTGGCATCTGTCGACTGGTGCGGTTGGCTTGTGGGTGATTTCATGTAGTACCGAATATGTAGTAATGGCAGGCGCAGGAGGTGTGCCAAAAGGGAGTGCCGATGACGTCGCTCAAAAGAAGAGAGGGACAATGTAATGCTTGTATATGTGACCACTTGAAGTGTGGCGGTCGCTTTAAGATTTATCTGGACCCCGTACATGTGGGCTGGCCTTCGGGCCACGCTCAGGCCCCATTTGCCCTGTCGTCTTCAAATACATGTATTCAACCTTACTTATGTCTTCTACTACCCTATGGAAAGCCTCGAGATGCTACATCCGACGTTCAAATTAAGATAGGAGAATCGTACTTCAGTTTTCATTTGACCATATCCATGGCTGAAGAGTGCTTTGGGGTTAACCTCGCATTTACCGTTTGGGCTAAGCTTGATGCAAACCATGGTCTTATCTTTTTCTTTCATGTCTAATTATCAGCTGATAGCCATGCTTATCACTCTCCGCCTTAAAATTCGTGCGCCTCTAACGTTTTTGGTGCATCTTTTTCAAATGGTTATATTTCATAAAATTTAAATTTCTTACAATGAGTTTGCGTACGCAACGAAATTATTCATAAGTATTTTGTGAAAATGTACTAAATGAGTTAAACTTTTTTGGTGTTAATTTACGAGTAATTTTAACGTTTTAATTTATCAATTACAAGGACGTTTGATAAGTTCCACTTTGTCAGAAATTGAGTATAACTATCGCTGATCCGTTGGGTTGTTGAGTTCTGGATTTCTGTTTTCTCTTACTAGCCTTTTTCGGAAATGGCAACAAAACTTACTGATTTGCGTGGATGCATATGCTTGGTTACTGGTGCCAGCAGAGGTATAGGGCGTGGCATTGCGATAGGTTTGGGTGAGTGTGGAGCAACAGTTTATATCACGGCTCGCACCCTCAAACCTAAGGAGGAGTCCGGTGATGGCAGCACTGGTAGCCTTGAGGAAACCGCTGCGGAAATAACAGCCAGAGGTGGTGTGAGTTTCTTATGCTAATTTTGTTACTGATCTCTACTTCCTGCATTTCATCCGCCCTTAGGCTTGGTTCTGTTTTCTCTACAGGAATGGCTTTTTCATCTGATCAGCTCTGATATTTTGTATTTCATAAGGTGGCTTTTCCGGTAGCGGTGGATCATTCCGATGATTCGCAAGTTGCAAATCTATTCACTCGCATTCGTCGTGAACAGAACGGCCGCCTAGATATTCTGGTGAACAACGTTTACTCTGGCGTGAATATTCTAACCACGATTGTTAAAGAGAAGCGAAAATTTTGGGAGCTAGGTCCCGACGAATCGCCAGCTTCTATATGGGATGCTGTGAACCGTGTTGGTCTTCGCAATCACTACATCTGCTCTGTTCTTGCCTCTCGCCTGATGCTGGCTTCTCGTAACGAGCTAACTGAAGACTCTGCGGATGGTGTCAGTGGTGTAAAACCTTCTGCACATGCTCGCCCTGGTCTTATTTTTAACATTACCTCTGCTGGTAGTCTTCGTCACCTCTTTGCAGTTGTTTATGGTGTTGGTGAGTTCTTATTAGCATGATTTCTTCTTGAATATGTAAAAATGTCTGATGATATATTTCCGGTTTTCGTTAATAGGGAAATCTGCTATTGATCGGATGACAGCAGACATGGCTGAAGAGCTGCGATCACGTGACAAGAGCCTTTCAGTGATTTCCATCTGTCCAGGTCTTGTACGTACTGAGATGATGACGAATCATTTGCAGAGCTCTAGTGAATCCTTTCCTCTCGACATCAAAACGCAATGTAAGTGTTTGGTGTTTAGATAGTCATATTTTTCTTTTTTAATTGAATGAGTTTAATTAAAAATTATTTTTAAAAACGGCTAATGTGCTTGTTCTCTACTCCCTTTCTTGTCTCACATCTTTGTGGATGTAGCGGAGTCGCCAGAACTCACGGGTCGAATAATTGCTGCTATCTCTATGGAGACGCGTGAGGAATTACTGGCTCGTTCGGGTCGTGTCTTTATTGTTGCCGACGTGGCGAATAGCCTTAAAATCAAAGATATTGATGGTCGCTCCCCCATTAGTTTTCGCTCCTACAAGTAAGTCCATTGATGAATGTTGAAACGCTCGAGTACTTGATATGAATAATTGAGAGGTGCACCAGTCGAGTGACGTCAGTTGATCTTCGTAATGCCTTAAAGTGGGTATTGTCACGCTTAAGTCGTTTACTTTCACAACGAATCTGAAGGGACTTGTTACTTTTGAGTTCTAGCTTTACAAAAGTTACTCATAGGTACGAAAGACAGCAGCATTTGTGTACTATGCAGTCAGAGTAGTCAACAAAATCGTAGTTATAGTAGGAGTAGTAAATGTAAAAGTAATCGCCACAAGTCTTTTAGCGTCTAAATTTTTCCTCCTCTAGAGTTCTTCTACAACTTGCTGGTTGGAAGCGTCTCGCTGCCCTTGTTCCACCCTTTCTGAAGGTGCCATACTGTCTCTTAAGGCCTGCCTCACCACGATTTTAAACGCCCTAGGTGCGGACTCCTTCGCCAAGCCTTTTGTGTCGGACTTTAGTACCCAACAGATTTTTTTCTCCTATTCTCAATACTACTTATTAGTCAAACACAAACAAGTATATTGGAAGAAAATTGGGATGAAGCTGGCAGTCTCAACCTACTTTTCCTTCTTGAGTAACCTTCTAGTGACACGGGGAATTAGCGGGAATTTGGCTTGACCTGAAATCGCCCAATCCTCGGGTCATGGAAATTGCAATCACCACGCCTCTAGGGCGCGGTGTTTACGCTTTCATTCATGTGCCTGGTTGTCCTAAAGGCCGTTACTCACTCTCTCGTGTGCCACGCCGTCAAAGCCGGTTTTTACCGCTCCACCTGAAAGGGCAGCTTCCTGTTTCTCCCATTTACGCCTGATACATCAATACAAATGTTTCAAGAGCAGACGCTGCTTCTAAAGATATTCTGAGGCACAAAACGCTCCAATTATAGCTGAAGGGGAGGAGTGTTAAGCTGCATTTAAAACTGTCTAACCTGAAGGAAACGTAGTTTTTGTGCTACTGACGGTGCGTGCTGTGCACTTCAACGCCTTTCACCACCTGTCCGATGGCAGCAAAAACACTTCATTGGTCATTTGGTCCACTGTGTTCCAACCGCAATTTACATGGGATGGAATTCAGGCTCTTGATGTCGTCAAAGGTAAAGAAATTTGGACAAAACTAACATTACCAAGCATTTGCAGTGATGGTGAACGTCAGGTGTGTGTGTGGGCTAGGCGAAATGGATCACTTTGGGTCTAGCACCATCAGTTGATAATGGGCGTCAAGTATCGAGCTTCCCACAACAATAGCACAATAGTGCCACTCGAATGGAGGAATTAGTCCTCTGGTCATGGATGCATACATAATGGAAAGGTGGATGAGATTTGTTCTGCTTGATGCTCGAAGGTGTGGATCCCCACATTCGATTAAATGGACGCCTTTGGTTTTGCCGAATGCGACTAGACCTCCCCCAATACTGGCTTGAACACAATAATTGCATCATAAAACAAGAGTGTGACACTCGGAGATTGACTGCCAAATTAGTTGATCAGCCTTTCATAGATTTCTGCCAGGTCCGTCTCATTCACTGTGCGCGAAGTTTGACATGAAGTGCAACCTTGAAGCGCTTTCATCACAAACACAAACATCATGCCTGTGTAGTGGTGTCATTTCATGCTCGTCTAGTGCAGTCTCCTCAAAATCCCTTGTTCTTCAAAGAAGTAAGCAGGCTTACTAAATCCGATCCGAAAACCGACAGATTTACTTTACGACAACTTTATCTTTAAAAAAAAATAGATCTAAGTGGTTGGCAAAATAAATAATTAAATCGTTTATAGCAGTGAAGCCTCCGAGTTTTAGGACGGCTGAACAAAATGGAGTCGAAGAATAAGGGAAGTGCAGTCCTCGCTTTGCTTGCTGTACCCGACTGGCTGAGTCTTAACCCTCATCACACACATACATTCCAGTGAAGAAGTAGTCAAAATAATGGTAATCATCGTCTAAATCCAAACGAGACTTTTAATTCAACTTGCAAAGACAATGATAGTGGCGAAGGGGTCGAAGAAAACGGTCGTCAAGACACCCTGCCCATGAGGTGGAGTTGTTCAACAAACCGCCTCCCTCTCCTACAGGAGGCCTGATTTCACTTATTAAAACGGAGACAATTGGGTTTCCTCGAGTGCGGAGTGAGTAAACATACATTTGACTAATTTGTCTTGCCTTTGCAAAACCCATTGAAGCCTAACTTTCATGTCTGCACTTCTCAAGCCATCTTCGGAGATGCGAGAGGAAGAATTTTGATCCACCGCCATCACGTGGGGTCCCCGGAGTGCCATTATGGGAGAACGCCTTAAAAAGCTTTTTTTTCTTGCTAACTAGAGGAAAATCTTTTCCCTCATAAATCTCAAGCCCAAGAAACTAGGTCACCTCAAGGTCAAACAAGACTGGTTAGTTTATTCCACCAATACTAAAAGTAATCCGTACTTTTGTATTTATTGAGGGCAAATAAAACGTTTTCGACAAGCAAAACATGCAACTTAGCAATGGAATGGTTGCAGTCACAAGTCTGCAGCTATGAGGTAATGAGGTATTCTTTGTTGTCACAGTATCTTCCGATGAGCGCATTATTTCGATACTTGAAAAGATAGGCACTAGAATTAGCCAAATAGGCAACTGCTCCTAGATGCCTTTGAAGTGGACCGCTTAAGTGATTAATGCCGTCGTCGAAAGTAAAATTCTAAACGAATTTGGACAATGAATATGTTTACAATATAAAAACATAAATAAAATATCAAAATCACACGTTTAGGAGGGCTGTACATATGGAGGTGAGAATGGGATGGGAAAAGGGTGGTGAATGGGGAAGCACTTTGAACATTTGTCAGTGTTAGTCATGAGGATCACGATGATGTTGACGTTTATGTAGATAATAATATTGTTTAGGTAGGGAAAGGTGACATCCGCTGTCGGTGGTATTCATTAATGTAGGCATTAATTCGTTGACGCAGGGTCAGCCCAGGGCAGGAGCCGGGAAGGAAACAGAAATCAGGAGCTGCAACACAAAAGAATATAATGGTAGGAATGAGGAAAAAAAGGAGGAAGAGTAGGAGAAGGAAGATTAATCCAGGCCATCGCCAACGCCGCCGCTTCAGACGAATTTGCAAACTAAAGGGTAAAAAGGATGCTACTTATTTTCTAAAAGTAGTTAAAATAATCGACTACCGTAGATGAAGAATTTACCTCTTTGAAGGCATGATGATAGGTTCAGCTGGAGCCTGAAAAAGATTTGGAAATTTAAAACTTTCACCTGAAGGTTTGGCGGACATGTATGGGTGGAAATGAACTTGCCTCAGCTTCAATAATTGTTCTTGGAGGGGAAGCTTTAACGACAACTGTGAAATCATCCATTTCATCAGTGTCAGACAGAGGTTGGTCAGTCAATGTTAATGAAGGGCCGACGGAAGTGATCTGACCCTCATTAGCTTCCACTTCGAACTCTTCGGCATTCTCAATCTGCCATAGAACATTAACACAATCTTCGTCATCGAAGGTGCAAAGTTTGGGAGTTAAGCAGTACCTCTCGTGAATTATTTCAAGCAAGCTCATGTCTACTCAAAGTTGATCGGATTATGCTGTACATGGTTGCCTTTCGATTAATCCTTGATAGGTCTATATATTACAGCCAATTATTAGTTTGTGTGATGTCATCTTTGCGTTAATGCTTGAGGTGACCAATGAAGTTGATATCACCCCGTTGTGCGTGCAGGGTGTGGCATTTTACCTGACGTGTTTATTTTAGAAAAGGGGGATTTGAGGAATCTAGCACCATGCTTAAGAGCCTGTAAGGCTGCACTGGCGAACTGCAAAATTTGCTTCCAACTTTAGCGCGGAGGCACGACTTTAAAAGGGCAGACTTACGGTCTCAGATCCGAACACCTTGGTTAGCTAATATGCCACCGACTGTCATTGAGCCTTTATTTTTCCTTTTCGTTTAATTGTCTACGGCTAAATCAAAATGGCTACACATGTTTGATAGTGCTAGAGAGTAAACTAATGGCAACCACAAAACCTTACTTAACTCCTATAAGAGAAAAAAGGGGACTCCTTACCTCAACCTGTTGGCCAATTTCAACGTTCGTCCCGATGCGGAGTTCTTGTTCCGCGGGTGTCTTGCTCGACGATGGCGAATATAAAGAAGCCATCAAGTCGGGCGACTGAATTCCCTCCGCTCCAGATACGAGTGATGGAATGTCCTCTTCTCTCAGTGGTGACATGGTTTCAGACTGAGTGCCTTCTGCAGTAGTTCCAACGCTAAAGGGTTGGGGTGAGGTCCTTGTGGCACCCGCAGCTTCGATTTCCATGTCTTGCAGGTTTATCTAAAGACAAGTAAGTCATGCTGAGAACTCCTCGCCACTTTCAAGGAGACATCCATTGGAGTAAGAGACAAGCTCGTATTCCATCGTTGATTCAGGCCTTTACTTTTCAAAGATTGTGGATTGATTTTAGAAGAAGTGTAAAAATAGGTTGAGATCAAATCTAAATTTAGCAGCACTATTTAGTCGCTTGATTACATTAAGATGTGAAATTAATTTCAAGAAAAAAGTGTCTCATAATAAAAATTGCTTATAAATTCTTTAAACAACACGAAGCTCTCGACCAATCGAGGACTAATAACGGCTTTTAATAAGGCTTGGAGAAAAAAAGTGAGTAGTTTGCGGTTACTGCACGAACCAATTCGAAGTCTATCAGCTCAGGCAAATCCTCAGAAGACATTAGTCACTTTATTTTTCAAATAGGTCACTCTATTATAGTCTTGTCACTCGGTTGGCCAACTCCTAGTTCCAACGACCGCCGATTTCTAAGGCTTTTCCACAAAATGACAAATGGTGTCACCACTATTAACTGCACATAAATCTGCGCGATTTCATTGGCTAACGAGTACGGACCAATCAGATGTAAGGATGGAGAGGAAGGCGGAACTTCGACAACTATTTTCTGCATTTGTAGGTTAAATGGACGTGCAGAAATCACCTGCCTGGGTAGAAGAGCAACTGACTTCACCTTTTTTTGCACACTAGGAACTGATTGCTGGCTAAATAAACATGAAATTGTCTTCTCACGTAGCAATTATGATTGACGAGTGATGGGTGCATGCACGCGTGTATGAGCTCACGTGCTGGGTAGTAGGAGATACAGACCACAGCGGTTGAAAAAAAAAGTAATCAAAACAAAACCACTGACATTAATAATGTGTGCGTGCTTTTCTTTTCGGAAAAGGCGAAAAACAGAGCCATTTAGAGCTGCTAAAATGTTGCATTTTTACCCAGCGGTTTTAAGCAACAATTTTTTCAAGATGAGCTACTGTCAACTAATTACTTCCCCTTCATTGTGAGGAAAAAAGTTCCAGTTTTTATTTTGTTTGCAGGACTGAATGGGCATGCTACTAATTTCATAAATGAGCATTTAAGTAGTTGAAGTGGGGAGAATGTCTCGGTTTTAGGAATAAAAGTCATTCTTCGAGGGCACAGACTCTCGATACTCGACATCCAAAACCCTATGCCTCAGTTGTTAATAGAAGTTACTGAGTATGCGCCTTATTCCATATGGCTGACTTTTTGAATAGAGGGAGAGATAAAAGGAAGAAAGGAAATATTTGGACGATTGTACCTGCCACAGCAAAAAGCTAATGGGATCGAAGACGGATTTGTAGAAGTGTCCAGGCCTATCCCTCTTGAGAATCTCAAAAGGGCCTTAATTCAAACATTCGCTGGCAGTGTCTTATACACATTATATCTGTGCCTCCGTACCTGAGCCTTAGGCCACTTATGCGAGTACCGACTCTTATGCCAACAACAAGTTGCATGAACGCAAGATCTCTTTAAACTCTCTTTTAAGATTTTTTTCAATATTTTTCTGGTAGCGGTTAAAGTGACTCATTTGGCAGCACATATCTTGGTTCCATCAAATAAAGATCTCTCTACACGTAAGAAGAGGCTGTAAGACTGCATCCTCCCCTCCTAATTGTTCAAAAATTCTTTTCAGCTTCAATCCACTTTTGGTGAGAAGGTTTATGTGCAAGTGAAATGATAGGCACTGCTAAGTCTGCTTGGTGTGTGCGTACCCCGACCCCAGACACTCATTACCCTCTATATGTTCACGTCTTTCAAAAGTGGCTCATCACACCTTCACATTAGATCAGCCCTACGTTTCGTACTAGCGTCAGTCCTTGTGAAGCAGGGCGACAACAATCAATCAAAGGTGCCATCTAGTTGCTACGGCTGCCAGTTGGGCTGGCAGCATGCGGGCGCATGACTGGGCAGAAAGCCCGCATTTAGACCGATTAATCTTCCATTTCTACAGCCCTATTGGTCATGCTTACACTGATATTGGTGTAAGATAAACTAAGGATTTTATAACTTTTCCTTTTTTCTCAGTCTGAGTGCTACTCAAAATCACATTTAAGTAGTTTACCCCATGCTATTAGTAACTTGCTCCGAGTCACACAAAACGATTCTAAATAGTTAATGGCCACTTCTCTGATTAATGCATGTTTTTAGTAATGAAATTTGACTTTACATCATTGAGAAAAACGTTCAGTCCCCATTTCGCACCACTTTACTATGTCCTACCAGCATAATTTTAGGTTTATGTAGGCCACCTGTGCCACGGCAAATTTTGATTCCTGGAATTCGATTTTATTATGGCTCTACGACTGAAATTGAAAGTTTCTTAACCAAACACCACCTAAAACTGGAAACCGAAGTGCAAGAAAGCCTAAGACACTGATTGTGTGGTGGCCTTGAGGCAGGCTGATGTTGCAAAACGGAAGGCCTTAGCTCACAGGCACGTGTGACGATCACAATGCGTCAGCAAAAGATGACGAAGGCAGACGGCGACAGAAAAGAGGGACGCCAAGTAAATTACTTTAGTGAATACTACATGAACATCACCTCAACCGACAAGAGTCGACTGAATCTCGCGCTTAGGATGGCCAAAAGAGATGGAGGGAGCAGTGTTGGAAAAATGCAAAGGGATTTGGCTACCTTCGGATGTTCAAAATATCAGCTCTTGCAAATTCCACATGACAGAGACCCACATGTCCTGTAAAGATTGTTCGTTTTGGTGACCTATTGGCATAGTGAGAAGGTGAATCGAACGAGACAAGAAAAAGGCCAATAGAAGGTGGGCGATCTGAAATGTGACAACTCCGAAAGTTGGAGCGTAACTGAGGTGCCAATGCTTCTTCCCACTCATTAGCATTAGTGCCCCTATCCTGCCTTCTCTTCGGACGGCGTTTGACAACAAACTCAAACGAAGAATCGCCCAAATACCAGACAACAGAATGAAAGTTAGAACATTCAAAGCTTTGAAGTCACATACCGGCCAACATTGTCTGTTGTGATCCTTTTTTGACAACCGCTCTGCTTTTGTTGTCTTCCCCTTTCTTCCTCGCTGTTTGTTAGCCTTCACTAAAGACGCGTCTTCAGTCTTGATGCCGATTACGGGCCCGTGAATTCTCGCCTCACTGTCTTGAATGTCATCTTTGGAGAGAATTTCGTTGACTTTCGAGTGGGTATCAAATCCACTGCAGGTGTTCTTCACCAACTCAACCTTTTGTTGAAGCATGTTTTCCTTCAGAAGGTCCTCATCTGTGACAAACGCTTGAGACTTATTCGCATCCATGGAAATATTCGTTTCAACTACTGATTTTACACATTCAGGTGGCGCACCTTCTTCTACGCCAGGCGTTGGGCACTCCTCGGTTCCTTTGGTAGAATGTTCTTTTCTCCAGTGCTTCTTTTTGCACCTCTCAGATTCGACACTTTTATCACCCAGTTCCTGAGAGATAGGCACGTCAGCACAAATCGGATTCGACTTGAGCACCTCCAAATCGTAGACGGAATCGATCTGTGCTGAGCCTTCTTTGGCCGAAGTAATTGTACTGCCATCGGATGCAGGATCGCTGAAGCGAGGCAAAGCTGGTTGTTCCTTTTCCTCCATCCATTTTAGGCTGTCATCTCCTAAACCAATTTCAGTAGGAATTGGATCGCCTAAAACAGTGCATTCAATCCTCTGATGATCTTCATTCATCTGAATCTCCCCTTCAGGAGGCTTCTGTGAAGCGGCTTGGTCCGGAGATGCTTCGAACCCCTTTGAGTCAAACAGACCTTCCATACTATCGGCTTCATTTGCTGGTTGCGGTGACACCTCCCCATCCTTGGCAGAAATAGTTTCAGCACTGTAGGAATATTCTTCTACAAGTGTTGCTGAAGTCCCTTCTTTAACGAGATTTGGTCCCAAGTTGGGTTCGTGAATTTTTGAGTCCACGCCAATTGAATTCCCGTCAAACTCTTCTGAATTCTGATACGAGTCCGGTTTCTCGAGGCCATGAGACTCTTCCAAGCTGATTTCACCTTCCTCTGTACTGCTGCCGATCATGTCTTCGGCTTCTTTAATTTGCGGACCCTTCTGCGCCTTGTGTCCACCGACATTAATGCTCGTCTGACGCTCGAGTTCCGAAAATTCATTTAACTTCACCTCCTTCTTATTATTTCCTGAAGTTTCAGCAATTACACTCACTTTCATTTCATTCAGACTTTCCTCTTCTAAGCTACATTGGGACCGCACATCTTCATTTCTGCCTAAATGGACGGTTTCTTGAGTTGTTGATGCAGGGCGTCCCAGACGCTCAACTTCCTTCCTGTATTCGTTCTGCTTCAAGACGCCCTCTGCAAGATGTTCCCCAACTTCAGCGATTTGAAGTTCAGAATTCAACCCCAAATCATGTGCTTCTTGACCGCTTTCCATTCCACCCTCACTCATCCTGTCCATGTAAGATTCGGCTGTAGGCTCATTCCTCGATTCCATTTCCACTTGATGCACTAAAGTTCGACCTTCCAAGTTTGGAGGCGCTACTCGAGTAGTTGCCTCATCTATCCCCTCTGCAAAACCTTCGCCAGTCCCCTTTGAAGTCGACAATGTGGAAGCTATTGGAAAATGTCCAATTTTTAGAACTCCTTTGTCATTCATGCATTTCTCAGCTTCCACTCCACTCAAAGGAAGTTCTGCATCTTCCTCTACTACATGAGTATTCGCCGTGTAATGTTCCTTCTGATGTTTCCTCTTCTTCCTGCTTTTTGCCGAATCCGCCTCTGACTCCTGTAATAGTGGTGGTGGCATTGTTTTATTGGGCTTTTCGGAAGAATGGCATTCACCTGTTTCAGCATCTATCACTTGAACCGGTTCTCCACATTCAAGCGACTTTTCCTTACCTTTCCTGTCTTCCTTTTCCGAATTCTTACTTATCTCCGATGATGGCGTCAATTGTGAAGCTCCTTCCTTAAACGGCTTGCAAATGCTAGATGACATTGGCATTTCCTGCCAAATGATTTTTGAATCAGTGTCTCTCTCACCTTCCGCACTCGTCATCGTTTCATCAGACTGAGAAAAATCTTCGTCCAAATTAGGGAAAGGATCCCGTCGTGGAGAAAAGAAGTAGTCCACTTTTGAACTGCTACTCACATCAGGCAAATGTGTAGACTTAACTGTGGCTGTCAAACCTTCCGAGGTAGCCAAATTCAAAATCTGTGACGTATCACCTGCCATGCTCCCTGAGTCTGCATCACCAAGACTGATTGAAGCCTTCTCGTTGGATGGAATTTCTGGTCGTTCCTCTTCAACAAATCTCCGTCTCCATAGATTGGATTTTTTATTCTCTCGGACTAGCCGAACTTTCCCGATTTCAAGCCCTGGATGTGAGGCATCCCCACCAGATTCAACATTTTCGTTTGAAGAGTCTCTTAGTCCTACTGATTTCGTTTGAACAAATTCCTCTTGACCATTCCAGCGAACTTGTGATGGCAATAAATTTTTATCGCATTCCACGGTTCGATCCTGAAGGGACTCACTGTTATTCAATTCTAACGACTCTTCAAATTTCGAATGGGTGTTAACACCTTCGTCAGACGTTAATTGAACGTTGAAGGTGAAATCAACTCCTCCACCTTCTTGAATCTCGTCCATCTCTTGCACGATTTCTTTTAAGGCGTCCGTGTTAAGGTCTGAAGGGGCTTCTATTTCTTCCGTTTTCGCTGGATACTCTACACCTGCAGCTCTTTTATCTAATTTGGCGTCTACTGCACCGACACTAATGAAAGGTTCATGGGCAGCAGATTCCTCTCCAGACGACATTACGCCAGCACTCCTAATTGTCCCACTTTCGCCGATTTCGTCCAAAGTGTCACCACCTTCTGCCGATTCCTCTCCTACTTCTCCCTCCTCCCTCAAACCTTCTCTCAAGTCGTCATCATCTGCCCGGGGATGCACCTCATCATCACCACCTCCCA